TTGCCTGCTGGTCATCACCAATTGGCTGACTCACTGGCATGCCAAACTCAATACCAACATCAAGCTTGTTGCTACCACTGCCTATATTTTCCAGTTTCCTGTCCTGAGTACTGATATCCAAATCCACCTTTACCTATCCATTTCCTCCTAGCCTTTGCAGCACTAGGTGCTTCTGTCTCTCCCTGCAATTGCTTGGGTATAAGCAATGATCTCCTTTAATTATATTGTCAGTGTACCTTTTACTCCATTCAATGGAAATCTTTAAAAAGTAGCTGGAAGTTTAATCCCTGCATGACCAGGTGAAAAGCATTTCATATCTGCTCCTTTTTCATCAAATACTGCCTCTTCACTTCTGCTTCATTAGAGGCTGAGAATTCAACCTTGATATATAGTTATAATTCTCACTGATTTATTAGTATAACTTGTGTGTGTGTGTGTGTGTGTGTGTGTGTGTGTGTGTGTTTGAGAGAAGTTGGGTATTTGTAAAGAGTTTCTTTGTCAGTACTAGCTGAGTTAAGTTTGCATGCTGATCCTGTGCTATTCCCTAAACAGTACCAGCTAGTTTTATTAGTGAACTCCAGATGTACACCACACAAGGGTTCCGGGTGATAGCACTGGCCTACAAGAAGCTGGAAGCTGACCACCACACTGCTGCCCTAACGAGGTAAATGGAGACAGAGCTGAATGACTTGATGTGAGGAGGCGCCAGGGTGGATGGGACTCAAGGGCTCTGGGTGGCAGACACAGAGACGTAGCTTGCTCAGTTTTGTGCACGAAGTGTCCCTAAACCTTGGTAGAATTTTGTATTAAGTACTTGCCCACTGCTGCTACAAAGTACCCAACAGCCACAACTTGAAGGAGGAGAGGTTTCTTATGAGTCATAGTTTCAGTCCATAGTCAGCTGACTCCAAGGCCACAGCAGGAAGACAGAGGGGCATGGCACAGAGAAAGGCACGCATGCATGACAGCCAGAAAGCAGAAAGACAAGGGAGCAGCCAAGGACGAGGATATGCCCTTTCAGGTGTCACCCAGAGGGACAGCAAACCAGCTGCGATTCACAGCAAGCCAGCTATGATTAATTCCAGGTCTAGTCCACTGATGTCCAGAGTGCCCGGGTGATTTGGTTACCTTCCAAACATGTGAGAGTTGGCAGGGGCATTTTAGAGCCGAACCACAGCACAGGTGTGTGCTCAACCATTCCTGCCCTGCCCAAACCACAAAGCGGACGTGAGCACTAAGCAGAGAGCTTATAAGAAACGTCCAGAGGAAATGTAAAACACAATGGCATTTTACAATTTTGCAAAGACAGACGTATGGATCCAACCAGTGTGTCAGAGTTTAGAATTGTGATAATGCCCTTAGTTTTTAAAAATTTATCATTGATGAGAATTTATCATTTGTTAGAAGTAATGAAACATAACATCCTGAGAAGTTTCTTTATAAAAAATATATAGCTTAATGAAACAAGTAAATATAACTTGAACTTACCTAATCTAGGTAATGTTTCCAGAAAAAGAAACACATCACAAGAAACTTCCAGGGGATCAGACTAGGGAAAGTTTTGGTAGACATCTGTTAAAGTAGGGCTGCTACCAGCTGAAGTACAGTGCAGAATTTATGAGCTTGTGAGTTCAAATTTATTTGTTTGTTTAATTTTAAAGAGAGAAAAATGACAATAAAACAGAACTTCAAAACACATTAATAGGAAAATTATAATAATTAATACATTATAACAATTAATTGCGTATTGTCTTCATGGTAGTTTTTCAGAGCACAAGATATAGGCATGATATATTCCTTCTTTGCTTTTTTACCTCATCCATGTTTTTCTTTCCTTTTGAGCAGTTTCTTTCTCTTTCACTATATCTATTGTATCTTTGGATCTTATTTACTCTTACAATTTCTTACACTAGGGAGGCAATATGATGCTTATACATGTGAGTCTGAATTATTTCACTTACGAGTATGGTCTTAACTATAAAAGCCTAAAGTTTATCCTTCTTTATAGCTGAGTAATACTCTACTGTATAAAAATGCTACATCTTTTTTATCCATTCCTCAGTTGATGGACATTTGGGTTGTTTTAAGCTGTTAGCTATTGCAAATTGTTTATCTATAGATATGGGTACACATATATCATTGTGGTGTGATGTCTTTTATTTTTCTGGGAAAATATCCAGAGGGTGAATAGCTGGGTTGAACAGTACCTCCAATCATAGGTTTTCGAGGAATCTCCACACTGATTTTTCACAGTGGTTGCACCAATCTACACTCCCACCAACAGTGGAGAAAGGTTGATTTTTTCCCACAGCTCCACCACAATTTGTAGTAAGTTGATTTTTTGGTAATAGTCATTCTTTCTAGGGTGAGATGGAATTACAGTGTTGTTTAAATTTACATTTCTCAAATCATCAATGATGTTGCACATTTTTTCCATTTATTTACTACTTGCATGTTTTCATCTGAGAAGTGCATGTTCACCTCAGATGCCCACTTTTCGAATGGATCTTTGAATCTGAGGGACCTGATTTTTTTTTTTTAAAAATTATGTGTTCTAGATAGAAATCTTTTGTCTGAGGGAAGCTGGCTAATTTTTTCCCCCTCAATTTGAGGGTTTTCTTTTCACTCTGTTGGTGATTTCTTTTAATGTGCAAAAACTTTTCAATAAAATGAGATTCCAGTTGTTGATTCTTTGAAGTACTTCCTGTGCAGTTTCGTTTTTGTTCATGAACTCTCTGCCTAGCTCTATGAAGATTTTTACCTATTTTTCTCTTTTGATAGATTTAGTGTTTCCATTTGAATATTTATATCTTTGATTCATTTGACTTTAGTTGAGTGCATGGTGATAGATGTAGGTCTAGTTTTAGCTTTCAGCATGTGGAAAGCCATTTTTTTCCAGCATCATTTTGTAAAGATACTATCTTTCTTCCAGTTAACATGTTCAGGCCCTTTGTCAAAGATACATTGGCTGAGTGTGTTTGTAGTTCTGTCAGCATCTTCTAATCTGTTCCATTGATCCTCAGGTATGTTTTTTTTTTTTTTTTTTTTTTTTTTTTTTTTTTTTGGCCAGTACCATGCTGATTTTATCACAACAGATTTGTAGTATAATTTCAAGTTAAGGATTATGATGCATCCTGCCTTGCCTTTGTTGCCCAGGATTGCCTTTGCTAGTCTAGGTCTCTTCTGATTCCAGATGAACTTTTAGAATGTTTTCCTAGATCTGTGATTGGGATTGCATTAAATCTGCATAAAAATTTTAGGAGTATGGTCATTATCACAATGTTGGTTCTTCCTATCTAGGAGCAAGGGATATTTTTTCATATTTTGAAATCTTCTTGAATGTCTTTTTTCAGAGTACTATAATATTCAATGTATATATTCTCTACTTCCTTTGTTAGGTTGATTCCTGAGTATTTCATTTTTTAAGATGCTGCTTTGAAGGCTGTGTTTTCTGTAATTTCTGTCTCGGTGAGGTTGTTGTTTGTGTACAGAAGTTCTATTGATCTTTGAGTGTTGACTTTGTATCCTGCTCTGCTACTGAGTTTAGTTATTGATTCTAGAATTCTTCCAGTGGAGTTTTTGGGGTCTTCTATATAGAGTATCATTTCATCTGCAAATGATAATTTCATTTCTTCCTTTCCTATCCTTATTCCTTTTATTTCTCTCTGTTGTCTAGTTGCTCTGGCTAATCTTTCCAGAACTACGTTGAAGAGGAGTGATGATAATGGACTTCTGTCTTGTTCCTGATTTTAGAGTGAAAGCTTTTAGGATTTTATCACTTACTGTGATGTTAGCTGTTGGTTTGTCATAAATGGCTTTTGTAAGATAGAGGTAAAGACCCATCTATTCTAATTTTCTGTAGGGTTTTTAATCATGAGTGGGTGTTGGATTTTGTCAAGTGCTTTTTCTGCATGTATTGAGATGCTCAGGTGATTTTTGTCTTTGATTTTGTTAATATGGTATACTACATTTGTTGATTTGTGTATGTTGAGCCATCCCTGCACCCTTGATGTGCATCCTACTTGGTTACTAGCCTGCATAATTTTCATGATTTGCTACATTCTGTTTGCCAATACCCTATTAAGGATTTTTGCATCTATGTTAATTATGGAGATTAATCTGTGGTTTTCTTTTTTGGTTATGTTCGTCTCTGGTTTTGGAAGCAGCATAATACTTGCTTCCAGGAAGATTTTGAAAGTACTGCTTCTCTTTCAATTTCTTTAAAGAGTTTCAGCATTATTGGCATTAGTTCTTCTCTAAATTTCTAGTAGAATTTAACAGTGAATTTGTTAGGGTTTGGGTTTTTCTTTGTTGGTAAATTTTTAATTGCATTTTCAATTTCATAGGCTGATGTCAGATTATTTAGAATTTTTATATCTTGGTTTAATTTTGGCAATTTTGTTGTGTCTAGAAATCTATTTCTTTTGTTTTTTCCATCTTCCTGGAATATAGGTTCTCAATGTAGGTCTGGATGATCTGGATTTCTGGAGGAACAATTTTGATTTCTCCTTTTCATTCCTAATTGCTTACATTTGAGTTTTTTCTTTCCTTTTTTGATGAGGTTGGCTAATGATTTATCAATTTTATTTGTTCTTTCAGAGAGCCAACTTTTCACTTCATTGATTTTTTTTTTTGAAATATCATTTTCTTGGTCTCTCTTCCCTTAATTTCTGCTCTTAACTTTATAGTTTTCTCCCTTGCATGAGCTTTGGGTTTGATTTACTCTTCTTTTTCTAGGAGTTTGAGGTTTAACATTAGGTTGTTTATCCGAGCTCATTTTGTTTTCCTGATGTGCAAGTCCATTGCTACAAATTTCTCTCATGGGACTATTTTCATTGCCTCCCATAAGTTCCTGTATCATTATTGTCTTTTAATTGTACGTATTGTTTAATTTTGTCTTTAATTTCCTCTGTGACCCATTGGTTGTTCAAATTGCTGATTTTCCATGTGTTTAGGTAGTTTTTGTGATTTCCTTTGTCATTGACTTCCAGTTTCGTTGTGCTATGGTCAGATAGTATACATGTGATGATTTCAATTCCTCTATGTCCACTTAAACATGTTTTGTCTGCTAATATATGGTCTAATTTGGAGAATGTCCCATGTGCAGCTGAGAAGAATGTGTATTCTGATATTTTGAGGTGAGACACTATGTAGACACCTACTAAGTCTGTTTGTTTACAGGCTTGGTTTATTTTATTTATTTATTTATTTGGCAGAACCAGGGATTGAACTCAGGCCCTTGTGCTTGCCAGGGAAGAGCTTATTCCCCAGAGTCATCTCCCTGGTCCCACAGGTTTGGTTTAATTCTAATATTTCTTTGACTTTTTTTTGTCTAGTTGATCTATTTATTTGTGAGAGTGGGATAGTAAGTTCCCCCACTATAATGGTGTTAGTGCTTATTTGGTTTTTCATGTCTGTTAATATTTGGTTTATGTAGTTGGGTTAACCTGTGTTTGGTGCATAAATATGTTTGATTGTTATCTTCTCTTCTTAGAGTTTCCACTTAGCAGGCATGTAGTACCCTTCTTTATCTCTTTCAATCAATTTTGGCTTAAAGTTTACACTGTATGAAGATAGAATAGCTTCTTCTGCTTTTGTTCTGGGCTCCTATGGCACTGAGAATTGTTTTCTATACTTTGACTTTTAGTCTATGAATTTCTTTTT